TCGAAAACTTTTAATTTCATTGTAGGTTTTCTCGATCAAAGTGCAGTAATATCGATCAACTGAATACTTGGGTTAAGGTTGGTAAACAAAGATTTCGTCTTTCGACGTGTCTTAGCGGTTTACAGAGCGAAGATCACTTCAGGTTTTAAACGTAATTATCTGAGTGATCATATTAGTGAAGCAGACAATCGACCTTCTGTATATAGCAACAAAGCATCATATTTGGTGAATATGATGCGATAGTAGCTAGTTAAACAGACTGTTCCAGGTCTTTTGTACGTGACTGGCTTCCATTTCGACAACCAAACCAATGTTTGTTTATTTGTTTTTATTTCGGGTGAGATAATTCAATGCTGAAAATGATGAGAGTTTTTTAAGCCTACATAAAATCGATTATTATTGTCAGTCATTGTTTTCGCAATTAGTTGAGATTTTATATGTGATCTGTTGCGATTCTTTTGCTGTAATAAGCTTTGAGAAGAACAAGCTTTATTTGCGGCTTTCTTATGGGTTCAATATTTCATAATAAGCTCACAAAGTCAATTTGTTTTATCAGCCGGCATTGTGTTACTCTCTCCCACGAGCGAGAACAGTAATTTCTTCAAGATTTTCCTCAGTTCAACTGTCTGAAGTGCTTCATACGCCACTTAGCGGCATGTCGACACGATTAATTTTCTGTTCTCTGGGCCTTTGTCTGAGCACAAACTTCCTTTGTTGGCCATCTGTTCTTCCGGTAATTCTTGACTATTCAAGTGGCTGTACGTACATAATTCGAGAGTGTGATTCAGATAGGAGTTACTTTACCACCGTACCGTCATTCACAGCTCTTCTTTCGATGAAGGCGAAACTTTAGACTGGCTATAATTGCTTAAAGCGCTCTGCCTATGGCGTTCGTAATATTTTGGCTTAGCACTTACATTCACCGCAAACCCACAGTATCAAACTAGATTAAACATTCATCTCGAGCCCTTTTCATTTTCTATTTATTCTTCGTGTTCCGCTTTCATAAAAAGTCGAAAATCAATGTAATTATTATCATATTACGGTCTTCCAGCAAAGAGAGTCAAGCTGTAAAATACAGCCAGGTATTGATCTTTTCGCCGTTTGCCAGACAGATTTATGTAAAATAGCTCAATAAAAATATATTGGCACTCAAATATTGCTCGAGGCAAGAAAAAACGACTCGTCAATCGTTTCTGGAAGACGAATGATGTTTTTGTCAGTTTTCTTTCACATCGAATTTGGCGAGAAAGTCTGAATTTCGATGCCGCTTATAACCAAAAACCGCCACAACCAAAGAGAGCGCACTAATTTTGATCGCGTGTCAGTGATGTACATTAAGATATAAACGATTTGAACTATCTCCATTGTGATGCGACTTTTAAAGAAAAAGCAATCACGGTTAACATGCCTTTCTAATCAAGCGGAAATCGATCAGTTGTCACTTACTCGCAAGTGCATCTTACAAATCAACATTAATTAGTAAAAATCGAACATAAACAAGGAAATGTGCTTCCTAGTGTTTTCTAATTCGGCAATATTTTGGAATAATACCACTCTGGAGATATTATTCTAAAATTAACTGTTCAAAAGTTGTTATTTGTCAAGTTAATAAGGTCAACAGCTCGTCACGTTTTATCCATCTCCTTTCAAAATGACAACTTCAAGGTATGTGCATATTTGAGCAAATGTTGTTGTGACCTTTTCGTCTTTAACGAAATGTGCCAGCTACGTGCAAGAACACACGCTGGGCTAAGGTCGAACCCCTACTGGTAGTGCTCTTCAAGCTTGCCATGGTTCACCACTTTTTGTTGTTTTCAAGGCCTTTTAGATGTCATTACTGCTTAGTTGAAAGTACCATAGTGGCCATTATTTGATTTGATTCGTGTATTTGCATCTGTTACGGACCAGTTACTTAACATATTTGTCACACTCCTCAATGGTCAACTCCGAATTACGCCGCACAATTTTTGCCATTAAAACAATCATTACGAGCGACTTTTGTCTCTCAAAAATCTATTCACAGATGATGAAAATTTATTGGTCGTAGTCAACTTTCATCATATATTCAGCATTGCTAGTGGCTAATAAGGCTTGTCCCATTTTCAAAATGCAACGATCTAAGTTTCGTGTTGTGTGCGAACTTATCAGATATTTTGAAAGTGAAATTCAGAAGCCTAATTAAGTATTTTGTCTTTTTTTTTTCTTACTTTTTTCGCCCCGAGGGTGAAATTTTTATAACTCTCTCCGAGGCGAAAGAAGGAAGGAGTATAGAGGGGGTGGGGGGGAGAGGTGTAGGAGAAAACTAAGGGGCAAGGGGAAAGGGAAGTGTTAGTATCTTTGTTGGCTAAGAAAGGCCGGAATGAGGTAAAAAAATCAAAGAATTCCAAACGCGTCTGACTTGCCCATTACATCGTCTGCTTTAGAAAAAGTGATCCTCTCCTATTGACCTAGTTAGAAAAAGCCGAACTTTCTCGTCTTATTAAAAGTACGTAGATCACGAATGGTAATTTTTTTTTGATCTCAAAGGAGGATTAGGTTGTTATAGAATTGGTCTCTCCTTTTTCCTGACAACTTTATTATCACGTGTGCACGATATTAACGTTTCCGTGCAGAGTTTGGAAATCTCATTGCACAGAGTTCGAACTATAAAAGGCGATGATTGACAGGAAACACTAAAGTGCTATAATTTTGCTTCGAAATGTAATGAAAACGACGGGCGAATTGGTTCGTCACTCGGTGGTTGACAATTCATTAACGTTTGGTGATTGTAAAGGAAACCAACATTTTTGTATGTCTAGTGTGTATAAATCTATATACATATAAAGAAGCCCTTGGTGAAGAAAATGCTAGATTTACATGTGATTATTATTGGTTGACGTTTCGATCCGTGCTACACGTAGGTGGTGACATTTACTGTTACTAAGAGCAGTAATAAAATCGAAGATTTTTCAGCCGTGTGGAGAAAGAAATAAAACTTTCATTTTAGTGATTTGATTCCTCTAAGCTGTAAAAACAAATTTCAAATTTCAAATTCATTTTGGTTTTCTCCGAAAAGAATAAAAAAAGTGGGGTTTGAAACTTTTTTTTACTAAAGTTCAAGTCTGCTTTTCTGGTAATAAAAGTAAAACAAGCAACAAAAAAGATGAAGTAAATTACTTCGAATTTCATTTCGACCCAGCGAGAACAATTGAAAAAAAAAAAAAAGAGGAAAGTTGCCAGACGTTTTTGTATTGCGGAAAAGGAAAATGGATTTTGTAAATAGAGCCAAATTCCATTTTTACAGCACGGAAGAAAAACGAAGAAATTCTGGCCGCTAGCAATCAGCTTTTTGGTTGCATTATGGACTAACTAGTCTGAATTTTTGACCCCATGTCCAAACTTAATAACTGTCACTGCAGAATTTTGTTTTTGCTGTGTGTATGCGCAAGGAATTTAAAACCATTGCTTTCGTTCTTGCATGCATGTTTTCGTTTTTTCTCCTTTCGCTCTGTATTTATTTGATGCACGTCTCAAAGTGAACAGCCAGACGAAGAACTACCCTATGGAAATTCCGTCAATATTCAAATATTTTTTTACCACATAACACCAGCAATGATAATAAAAGTAACCATGGCCGTAATGTTCGCTTAATAAAGTAACCATACTGATGTTGATAAATATGATATTAATAACATCATCAATATTCAATTTGATCCTCTCAAAGGTACCACCTGGCAGTTTATCATGAATTGAAAAACTTAATGATCTTAGAAAAAGACTTTCGTTCATTAGGAAATGAAAGATACTAAGATTGTGAAGTTCCGTCTTTTACTTGATCTGTTTCAGAATGGAAGTGCTTCGATGAAGTTTTAGTTAATCGCAAGCCACTCTTTTGACACGGAATGGAAGTAAACCTTTAAAAATAAAAAAAGGGTGCAGTTGTGTTTTATGTCAAACGACTAAGCTAGACAACAGTTTTTGCAGACAAGCATGCAATTTGAATTTGTTCTGTGACGAAGAGGACGATACGAAACCCCAACAACAACGAGAAGGAGAGAGAGCCATCAGACGAAAGGCTCAATCAGCGGAACATGGCTCCGCGCCTTCTGTTCCAAGTACATAATAAAATTTCGTTCTGTGACCCATAATTTAAGAGTTAATTTAACATAATATTAACATTTTTTCGAAGATTTTTTGTCTCATTTTTTATTAGCAGCATTTGGTAATTATGTTATGGTTCTTTTTAGAACAATTTTTTCCCTTTATGAAGAATAATGCCATCTTCTGTCTTGTTTACTTAATTTCACAGCAGAATAAGGCCATCTTCTGTCTTGTTTACTTAATTTCACAGCACGCCCACTTTTTTGGAGAAATTAAGGAGAAACCATAAGCATCACGTACCAACCTAATTAATCTTGGACCAATATTAAAAACGAATGTTCAAGTCAAACATTAAAAATGCATCACCATCCCGGTTCATGAAAAACTCCATTTCGGACAATATTTTCTGGATTGCTTCTTTTAATAGAAACTTAAGTCTTCATTATGATATTTGTTTGCGAGCTTCTTGGTAAGATCAGTATCTTTTGCCAGCCATCTGCCTCTCTTAAAATAAAAAAAAAAACGAACCAGCCAATCGTAAGGCAAAGATACTGATACCAGTTTTATTTTTGTTAAGAGCATCGACGATCAGATGGCAAAACATTAGGGCGCTATATAGTGACTAGCAATGGTGTTTCGATGAACTCGACGTCATCACCTTTTGGCAGTTGTTTTCTTTATTTATAAAAGTAAAGTGGCAGTGCTTAGCCACGTGAGGTTGGCAAAACATTTGCCAGGTAATGTTGATATTTAAATTGCAGCCAAATTAATTAACATAATTAACATATACCTGCGCGAATCGGGATGTTTGATGTCCTTTTACGCGGTAGCTTTTCAAATTTCGTATTCTTGGTTTTGTTCTGTGTTTGGAAATTTTAAAACAACCCTGTTTTTTCATATTTTTTAATTTCTTGCAGGTCATCAACTCAGGAAACACTTTGGCAAACCGTGAATTTGGAAAGTGTTTAAATAAGGAAGCACATTATTTTTCGATGAAATTTAATCAACATCCATTGTCTATGCTTGCGTTTTTGTTCTGTGGCCTAAAACACCGACAATTTCACTAGATAGCACGGAATACCATCTTCGAACGATCTGCTGAATTGATTTCACTTGTGAAAACAGATCCAGATAGACGATCTTTTTGATTCCGTGACTACTAACAAGGTAAAGCAGCACGAATGTGGTTTGTGATTAGGGAAAAACATCCGTCGCAATGGCTGTAAGGACATGCGGATGGCTGGCTCTCTTTGCCGTTCTATTTCACGTCCCTTCGCCGACCGCAGAAGAAGTTAAACTTGGCCTTTTGATCCCTTTCAAACGCGCTGAACGAATCGGAAACTATTTCAATCGAGGCGAGTTCTTTGCTTCCGCCATGAGTATCGCGGTGGACCATATCAACGGAAGGTCTGACCTTCTGACTGGTATGAATGTCACTTTCATCTGGAACGACACCGACTGTAAAGAGCTTAAAACATTGCAGTCCGTTGTATATCAAATGAATCAAGGCGTTACGGCGTTTATCGGACCGGGATGTAGCTGTAACACTTCTGCCAGGCTGGCCGCATCATTCAATAAGACCATGATATCATATGTAAGTAGCTCTTTTTATCCTGTTAATTGGGAAATGATAATTTGGGTGTGTACTTCTGTAAAATGTCCACTTGAAGAGGCAACAAGCCAAATATTATTTGCTTAGTTCATATTTATATTATGCGGGATCGCGTTTAAAGGAAAAAAATATTTCCAAAGTCTTAAATTATTACTACCGGTGTAGCTCCAATCTTGTTCATTTTTCAATGGGGAAAATTGAGTAGACCAGTTATCGAGCAAAGGACCAAAGCATAGCTTTTTTTTTTCACGAAGTTTTAAGTTTGTTAGTCAATGAAAATTTGCGTTTAATTAATCGTTCTTGGTTTTAAAAGAGAGACGATGAAATAAAAGCGAGTCATAGAAATGTCTCTTCGCCGTTAAAAGCCCTCGTTAAAAAAAATGAAATTTTATAGCAAACTATAAGCGCCTCACTTTTTCAGACCTTCAAGATTCTTTTTCATAAGAACATTAAATATGCCAAAAACGACCATATCTTGCGAGAAAAGTGCCGCCGTGTGAATTTGATACATTTAAAGAAAACACCTGGACTTTTAATTAGTAATAATTATCATTAAAAAAAAAAAAAACATTTTGTCGCTATTGGTCCTAAGCGAAATACTCGTATATATTTTTAGAAAGATCGAAACTGTTCAATATCCGTTTCGAATTCAGAATTATATTCACTTTTAACAATTCCGCTTTTTTTCGGAGGTGATCCAATTTATGTTTGACATGTCACTCGATAATTGAGGGTGTATCTTCGTCATAAAAACTGGCGTCTCCTCTTGGTGTTCTTCTTTTCTTTCTTGGTTTAAAGAAACGCAAATTTACAGCTGTATAGTTTTGTTTTCATGATGCTCTTAAACTCTTCTCAGAAAAAAACATTCTTATCAGAGGAAACGACAGTTTTCATAGTTAACTTGTGAATAAGTCCTTTATTGACCAAGCTAGTTCGGTCAAGATGGTTGGATATTAGCCTTGCTTTTTTTTTTTTTGCTTTCGGTCAATGTTCAGCCATTTTGATCTCACGCATGGTCAATAACACATAATTAATAGATGGCTTAGGGCCCGTGACCGATAAAACGCGCACTCTGATTGGCTAAAAGCAATTATACAGCGTTAATACCCTCCGGCCGATAATGGTTATGAAAAATTAGCTCCGACGAATTCGCTCCGACGAAGGGCTAACGCTCGAAACGTCAGCTTTTGTAATCGTTACGGTAGCCAATTTACCATTTCAACTTGGTTGATATATCCAAATTATTTCGTTATCCCCACCGACGCAGCCCCAAACAGTTTCTTTAGAAACTATCAGCCTTTATTCATATGAAAAATTAGTAACAGGACAAAATGTCAGACAAGTAACGCGGCAGTTCTTTTCGCTTTATGAAAATTCGAGCGCATGGAACCGATGAAAGCTGATTAACAGCCAGACAAAGTAGACTCAATTAAATACAAACAGCTTAAGTTTTATAGGAACAGCTGAGGTACAGTTTGAAATTACCTCTGAGATTGTGCTGGAAGGAACGAGGTAAACAAGCAAGACTGCATTCAAACTCATATCTAGTGTAAGAAACCGTAAAAAATTCGCTTTGGAAAACTGTCATTGACATGATTACATTACAACGAAGTTTTCCCAAAATAAATGTTGGAATGAAGCCGTTTTGAGCTTATCATCTAGTAGCCTGGGAGGGCGCAATTAAAGAACAATCAAAGTTTGCCTGGTTGTATATAAAACCTAAATCGTTTAGCAGAACACCTCAAAACAACCCAGTAGTCTCAACAACTACTGAAGGTTTAAGTTTTGTCATAGATAGCTCAGTAGTTTGCAGCAATAAATTCACTCGCTATTAAACAACCAAGTTTAAATCATCTTCTAGGAACATCAGATGTAAACAATCGAGCGGATTCTGTTAGTAGAAGATTACTTCATTTAGTTTTAGATGTTCAAATGGCTTGTTTGAAAGTTCAATTCAATCATTTATTACATCCATTTTGAAATCACTGGTGGTCCCTGTAATCTGATTGGCTCTAATTGGTGCGATTTTTTCACGAATCGCACCATTTTTTGCTCTAAATCGCATCATTTTACGCTTGACTGAGTTTTTGACACATGACATCAAAGTCTTTCTGTTTTGCACACAAAATAATATGTAAAAGCGTTTTCCGGTTCCGCTTTTTATTTAAAAACCGACTCAGTACTGCATCAATAAATGTATCTTATTAACCAAGCAATAGAGCATTTTGATTGGTTGATTTTAGTTATTAGCCCTCTGACTGCCCAAGTCGTGGAGTAAAATATTTGAATTGACCAAGTCTCGTATTTGGGCGATTTCAAAATGGATGTAATAAAGTGGTAATTGAACCTCGTGCCGTCCAATTTTGGTCTGAAATCATACTTGTGATTTCAAACCGCACTCGTTCGATTTTGAAATCACGCGTATGATTTCAGCCCAAATTGCACTCCACTCAGTTTAATTACCATTAGAAATCTCCCAGAAGGCGAAGATATGATGTCGGAAGCGAAGGCGAAGATCAGACTACACGACCATAACATGTCTTAGCACAACTTGAACTAGTATGATACTGCCTTCTCCGAAGATTACCGAGTTCAGGTGACTTTTTCGCCGCGTAAAAACTACGATATTGTCCACTATCCTATTGATAAATCTCCCATTATGTAGTTCTTGGCCTAATTAAGCTTCCCGATAAAGTTAAATTAAGTACGTGTCAGCTATTTTACGATCGTGTACTAGACAAAAAAATCTTCTAATTTTTTCTCTGTCTTAAATTGTATCTGAGATCCATGATAATGCTACACTAGAAGTACATCTTTGTAGCACGTGAACCCTAGCTTCTTCAGAATAAATATAAGGAGATTCTGTCTAACAGATATAGGGTGCTACTATCAGTATTGGATTGATATTCCTATATCTATACGGGAGAAGCCCACTAAAAAAACGTTTTGAAAGAGCACTTTTCTAACCTTACCTTTTTCAATACTGATTAATGTCTTCCTTTGACCATGTTTTATTTACATATTTGTTGTTTGAGGTGTGATTCCTTTTCTCTCTCTTATATTTGTATCGCTTCCTTTTACTATATGAAAATATGTAATTTAACGTAAAGGGCATTTAATTAGCTCGCTATAGTATGCCCCTCTTCGTCTTCTTATCTTTCTTGTAATTATTCATTAGATTCTAATTTGTTGAAATGGAGGAATTTAAAAAAATACAATACAATACAATAGATAAATCTCTAACCAGTGGATAGCACCAGTACGTTTTGTTGACATTTATCTGCTACATAGTGATTTGTCCTTTGGATAGTGTTATCTGTCCTTCGAACAACTGGAACCAGGTGTCCACAATTTTCCAACTTTTTGTTCTCAATTTGTTTTTACAGATGTGTGGAAATCCGGAGGTTTCATACAAAAGGTTGTATCCGACCTTTATTCGAACGTTTGCTGTTGACACTAAACTTACTCCAAGTCTACTGTCACTGCTCAAACACTTCAATTGGAAGAGAGTGGCGATCATCTGCGAAAACGTAACGAAATGGATCGAAATGAAGGACAACTTGGCAACACGACTGAGGGCGAAAGGAATAACTGTGGCGCTGGAGCTGCTTACGCATCATTCAGCGTTGTACAGGCCTAAAAACCATTCAGACAACTACAGAGAAATCATGAAAAAGATAAAAGAAGAAGCTCGAAGTAAGTATTAAGTTTCTTAGATTATTGCAATAAAGATTTCAGCATAGGTTCAACTGTTTTCGCCATTCTCATTCCAAATAACACCTCTTTAGCTGTTATTGCATGAAATAATTTCCGCTTTTCTTGTCCCAAATAACCACCACTATCATAATAGTTATTATTAAAAACTAGATCATTGGATAATGCAATTCAAGACTTTTTATTGGCTTAGCCATTATGGTATATCAGCCAATATACCATAATCTACAAATATGATAAGCGTAGGTGTCAGCTTAAAATTAAAAGGGAGCTAAAAATTTAATAAAGTTTAATAATTTAATTTAACGTTTTTAATAAAACAATTATTCCACTCGCGCTTGTTGGATATGGGATGATTATAGCCAACTCGGCGCTACGCGCCTCGTTGGCTATCTATCATCTCATATCCAACGCGCGCTCGTGGAATAATTGTTAATTATTGCATGAAAGCCAACTTTAAAACATTCCATTACTGATAGTATCCCAAAAATGCCTAATATGCTACTGCATCTGTTACCAACGCTCTCGTTCGACTTAATTCTTTCCGCCGCTAGTATCACGACCGTGCCATTANNNATAGTGAATTCTGAATTTTATTTGCCTGACCTTGGATTGCAATAACGGTATTATTTTTTTTTGCTCCTTAGCCACCTATCTACGGAGCGTATCTTTACGATGCCGTGTACCAGTACGCGATTGCGCTCAACAAGACACTGGCAAGGAAGGAAGCTTTGACAGGACAGAACATTGCAAACAAGTTACATGACATCCAATACGACAGTAAGTCGCCTTCCTTGTTTTTGCATCGTTACTTTATTAGTTAGTGGGGGACACGGTGACATAATGGTCAGTCCACTGAGCTGCAGGTCGATAGATCCGAGATCGAGACTTGGCTGTTTCATTGTGTTGTGTTCCAGGGAGAAATAATTTACTTTCACAGCTTCTTTCTCCACCCAGGAGCATAAATAGTTACTGGCGAATTGTCAGGGAATCCCGATGAAATGCCGGAGGGTAACCTTGCGATGGACTAGTATCCCATCCGGGTGCGGGGCGGTCGTAATACTCCCTGGGAAATGGGATAAGCCCCGGTCGGATGGGCCACTTGGTTCAAGAAGATATTTTATAAGTTGGGGTTAACAAGTGTATTTGTGTGTTACAACCAGAGGAATCTTTTGTCAAGTCTTGCCTTTTTCATGGTAAGCTGTTTTACATAGATGGTCGTGGCATGTTCGTAAATTCAGTGGAGATTTGTATCACAACTGCTGAACCGGAGTAGTCTACGAAATGCGCTGCCGTTCCCTCATAACTTCCTCGAGCAGAATACGCTTTAGATACTAAATCAAGGAAAAGGAAAGAAGAGAAAACAAGTACGCAATATGGAAAGCTAGTTGGCAATGGAGCTCGCCTTACCCGAATCTTGCCTAGATTCGAGCCCGTTACCTATCGTCACTTATGGGTTCAGCTTTGCTCTTGATTCTTGTCCTTGCTCTTAGGGTCAGTTCCTCCCTCCCCAAAAATGACTTTCTAAGTTCCTGGATTGAGTGGGTTTAGAATCGATTTAGTTATGTTCCACTAGTACTTTACTATGTTTTCGTTTTCAGGCATACTTGGATATAAAATTCATTTTGATGTAAATGGAGATGCTGAGTTCAATCTAACGTTGCTGGATATGCATGGTTGGTGATCTTCCTCCTTCCTCATACCAACGACTTAAACTATCATTCTCTGTTTGCAGATCTAAGTGTAAAGAAAAAAAATCGCGATATCATGCTAGGTTTGCCAAAATGCGCCAACAAATAGCGATACAAGGAGGCTTATCTCAAATGTTTCTAAGGGCAAAAAATTTTTCGGCTTCCATTTTTTTTTTCTGATGTAGAATCTGGAAGTTTGCAATGACGTAGGAAACCCATGCAGTCTATTACTCTCGCCTGGAGACACCTGAGGGTTTTTTGTCTTTCTTCTCCCTTCTCATTCCTCTTAAACGATAGAACCATGCTGCAAGGACTCTAATTACACAATAGAGTGTTTCTGTCTCGGAACTATCGGCTGATAGTTGCCCCGCGGAAATTTGATGTTCTTAAAACAAATATGCTACTTTTACGAACATCAAATTTCCAAGGGGCAACTNCCACGGATGAACACTATCGCGTCACGTAATCGATTCAAACCAATAAGAACCTGAGAAAATTTAGTGGTGAACTATAACTGTTTCTAAATATCTCTTAAGATATTCGAAACATTTGTGCGTGTCGAGCCAATCATTGCTGCAGTTCTTACCCACGAGATTCCACAAACTTACAACGTTTCTTTTCCTCTTGCAGGGGAGAGGGGTATGATTCCAGTTGGGGATTTCCAAATCAAGTTTGATAATGAAACGAAAGAAGGAGAACAGGTTTTTATTCGACGGCCAAACGCTACCTTAAGATGGCCTGGTGGACGAACTGGGCCCCCAAGGGACTCTCCTGAGTGCGGCTTTCATGGAGAATTGTGTATTGAACCTGAGAAAGGAGGTATTTGTTTCCACATTTTAATATATCTCCGTTATAGGGGAGATGACCACACTATCTACCGGTATAAAGTTAAAATAAAGTTAGCACGCGTGGCAAAAGGACCACACATCCGGAGCTTGTCTCGGCTCGCGTTGCATGAAGCAACGAGAAGTATTGCTTCTCTCCATGGTGGGATAGTCCATGGCAGGTTACCAGCCAGCTACTCGCCTGAATGTGTTGTCGAGTGTTATCTCGTCACTGGAAAACCAAAAGATGAATTCCATACTGCTTGATAATGTTTGTGGTTGTGCATGAGTATCCATATAGTGTTGCGGTCCATGTTTGTCCATGTATGCTACACATGGCTAAAACCACTCTACAGTTGCGTGCTTGGTTGCCAGGCCCTTAATTTTGGAGTGAGGCTGAACGAGACCAGTATCTGGTTAGTATGATAAAAATGTAATTTATATTTGAAAAGCAGCAGCGTCTCTATCATGACAAGGTCAACCTTAGCCTCACTCCGGTTGAAAGGCTTGGCAACCAAGCAGGCAACTGTAAAATGGGCTATTCGTTGAAGTTTCGCATTGAAATTTTATCATTACTTTCATTAGATGTCAAGACGAAAATAATTGCCGGAGTATCAGGAGCACTTGCCCTCTTGTCACTGCTCCTACTCCTTAACATTTACAGGTAACCTACCTTTGGTTATTGACACAAGATCTAATCAGTACTTCCTCCACCTACCTACAGAACATTTCTCAGTTGTTCGTTTACGTACGTTCGAATCTTTAATCTCTTAACGCGTTTACTGAATAATTTTCTTAACCTGTGAGGAACAATTAACTCAGGTAATCTATTTGGAAGACCTGTCACCCAAACCTTATCCAACTGTGGTCCATGATTTTTACTTTGGCAAACTGTATGTGTATATAAAATGACTAATGAGTACTGCTATTACAAAAGGAACTGGCTAATCTCACAATGGGAGTGTTTTAACCATTTGTTTATACGTAAAGCCACCTAAACAATACTTTTGTGAATAATAATAATTGATTTGATAAAGATTTTAGCGACTGCAGACTCAAGAGTAAGGATGACGAAAGACACACGGTTAAAGATCGTGGGATATTTGTTTTATTTGAAACTTTCTGAGAGGGGCAAGATGATTCATCCAAACTTTTACTGTCTTGCAGGCAGTATAGGCTTGAGCGTGAACTAAAAAGTCTCCTCTGGAAGGTCGACTACAATGAAATCTGTTTTGAGAAGAAAAGGAACTCTATTACTTCCTTTGGAAGCTGTGTGGTAGGTATTAACGATATGTTCCAATATTATTTATGTTCTGTTTTAGAACTAAACTCATATTCACTCCCGCTTTCTGTTGGAAAGAAACTTCGTTTTGAGCCTACACTTGTGTATTCTGCTGGTTCACGTGCACGCCTATTTACACGATGAGATTTGCGTTTATACCTCTCTCGCTTGACATAGGATAGGTCAGTTGATATAGCATGTTTCTCGATGAAGTTTCACTCATAAATGTTCGCTTATAAGGAAGTCTGACCGACTCGTTCCAAAAACGCTCGCCATTTTTCGGTGTGGGTCTAGCGCGAACGCTGTGTGCGTATTCTGTAAGCGTTTTGAGCGTATTATACACAGCATCTGTGCTGATTTTTCATCGCGAAAACTTCTTCTTCTTCTGCCATTACACCATACCACGTGCTCATTGGTCAAAACGTCGCGGATGCGTGTTAAGGACTCCACTGCGATTTGTGACTAAACGAAAAAAAAAAGCGGAATTTTAACTCAGGCGTTTCCTTTAGAAAGCCCTAGTAACTAGTAGAGAAGCTCATGAATGTCAGCGTTTGACTCGATCCATCGATCAATTTTTCAGTCAGTCAGCCTATCAGTCTTTCATTTAGTCAGTCAATATGTTAGTCAGTCATTCATTCTCTTAGTCAATCAGTTAGTTAGGTAGTCGGTCAGTCCGTCATTTAATCATTCAGTCAGTCAGTCAGTCAGTCAATCAATCAGTCATTCAGTTAGTCTGTCGGTCAGTCAGCCGATCAGTCAGTCAGACAGTCAGTCATTCAGACGTCAGTCGTTTACGTCTCTCCTTCCTTTACTTAACACAGAAGGACAACGATCCTGATCTGCTTGAGCCTCTTCTTGAAGATGACGATGAGGTTTTAAAGGTTACCGCTGTCGGAGTTTACAAGGTATTTTCATTTTCCCTTTCAACTTGTATGTACATGAATATTTATCTGGTAACAAATTGAAACACACCAACCAATCAAGTAACATTAGTGTTTCACTCTCTCTCTTATTTTCCTCTAGGGAAACCTCGTTGCAGTCAAACGCTTGGCCAAGAAAAACATAGATCTAACGAGAACTGTGTTGATGGAGCTAAAACAGGTACTTACCATAACTCGCAGATAATAAAGAGCATCTCAGTAGGTGCAGCTTCCGATTGCAAAATTGGAATTTGCAGCCGAGGTTCGACTCTTGACCTTAAACTAAGAATTTACTACCTTACGTTCGTATGGTGGTTCGATATGCTGGTTAACATCCCCAGACCTCTTTTTTAACCCCTTGACTCCCAAAATCTTAAAATGTTTTCTACTTTTTCTTGGTCAAACAATTGAGAATTGGGTGTTTAATCAAGGTATATCATGAAGTTTATCTCTCTCTCTTTTTTCTCATCACCTTTTTGTTGAAGATTTATTGATTTTGCACGGAAAGATAAGAGCACAGGTTCAATTAGCTGAGGACAATTGGAGCGTCGAATAACTTTCCAACAAGAACTACTAAACCTGCCACAATGGTACGGAAAGAAATCAAGCGAATGGGACGAAAGGTGTTGGTGGTGGGGGGATTTGTTCCACTGCAGTTGGAGAACTCGTAAAGATGGTGGGAGTAAATTTGCAATAGCCAGGAAGCCTCTAGATAAAAGTGAAAAAAACCTGTTTTCTGAAAATGAGCTCATCTCGCCTGTTTTTTTTAGATGCGCGACCTAAGGCATGACAATCTGAATCCGTTTATTGGTGCATGCGTAGATCCACCAAACATTTGCATCATTTCGCAGTACTGCTCCAAGGGAAGCCTTCAGGTAAGCGGTCCTGTGGCTACAATCTTGAATGGGAGAGAGAGATTTTCAATTTATGGTCGATGCGGGTACAATTCGCTGCATTGCTTAGTTTTGCATTAGAGTGATCTTTCAAGCCGTTCAAATCTTGACGAATGAAACATCATTATTAGAGAGAGTTATGACGTGGACTCAAGGAAAGCCATAGTAGTAAGGTTCACTCTATTTTACGTGAAACGTGAAAGGGCAAGCCAACGTTTTCCGTTTCACGTAAACGCGGAATTAAATCTCTCTCTTAACGACCCTTTGAGGTACAGAATTTTCAATAACATTCTATCAATCCTCCTGAATGAAGGATGCGAAAGACCTTCAAAAAATTGAAAAAGAATCAGTGCCTCAACTCCGTGCACTTTGCTAATGCAATTTTCTACGAATAATCAATTTTGTATCACCTGAACTATTATCATTCTTCGCAACTCAGGATATTTTGGAAAACGAGGATGTCAAGTTGGATCACATGTTCATAGCTTCACTTGTTTCTGACATAGTCAAGGTAAAGTTAAACATTGGATATTCACTTCACAAAACTCCTGATTAATTCCGTCTTAACGTGATTCTGGTAAATGTTCTGCGGAACCACAATTTTTACAGTTAAGCGCTGTAGTCAAAACAGATCATCAGTTTTTCTTACAGTAACCTTACTTTGTGCAATAGGAGTCCACCCTGTCCTTAAATCGCTTCTTTTTTTCTTTTCTCTTTCTAGGGAATGTGTTTTATCCAGAGCACAGATATCAAGTCACATGGCGATCTTAAATCACCCAACTGCTTGGTGGATAGCCGCTGGGTGTTAAAAATCGCAGATTACGGGCTCCCAACTTTTAAGGAAAAGCAAAGAAAAACGTATCCGTCGGAGCACGCATACTACAGAGGTAGGTGTAAGATACCGTTAGCTGCAGTCTCTTTTCAGTAAAGCCTTGCTATCTGACGCTTTTCGTTTTCTCTCTCCGAGTATCAGTCTAGTATTTGCCTCCATATCTTTAACCCTGATTGTAGTCTACTTTAAGGTTAGAAACTTAAGAGAGGAATCGTTAAGTGACACTTAAGAGTCTTTTGATTGTATTATACGTTTTCGATTTTAGATCTTCTGTGGGTTGCACCGGAGATTTTACGCCTTCCAAATCGTCCTGCTAGAGGAACGCAGAAAGGCGATGTCTATAGCTTCGCAATCATTTTGCAAGAGTTCCACACAAGGGAAGGCCCCTACAGTTCCAACTATATGGATCCCAAGGGTAGGAAAGTATTGTTTTCACTGCTCAATTTATTTTCTTTTAAAGTCATTCGGTTGAACCTTTAAGGACGTTTCTATTCAGGGAAATCTCCGTCGAGGAACACAAACTCTGGACCTAATTACAACAATTTTTTACAATCTTTTGTAACTGTTACATTTTTTGAAGATATACCTATATCAAGGGAAATCTCCATTCAAGGAAAACAAACTTTAGGTCCAACTGAAAGTATAAACGGTTTCTGCAATCGTTTGTCTATTATCTTTGTTGAAGTGACATCTCTGTTAACTCAGGCGGGAGCCCGATATTCTTTGGGAGGCGTCTCCTAGTGGATGGCTACACTGTAATCTTGTGGTTAATTTTTGCGCGATGTTTTTCGCTATCTCTTCATTGGACTTTTCCTACTGCTTTCAGATATTATGAGCCGAGTACAGAACGGGGAGTTTCCACCTTTCCGCCCAACTGTGTCAGAGTTAATTACCGGAGTGGAAGAAATCCGGGAGCTGATGAAACAGTGTTGGGAAGAGAATCCAGACCTGAGGCCAGACTTCCACGAAATCAAGAAGATTATAAACAAGATTTTAACCAACAACGGAATGTATGCGCACTTTCACCCGCCTACTCCCTAGTGACCAATCAATCAATATCTTTATTTATCCTCGAGAAAAATTAGCGATAACCGTGAAACTAGTAGATTATCATTTCTTAGTTGAAAATGGCGTATTTCGCTTAGTTCTTGTTAAACCACCAGCAGGAAGTAATGAGGGCTAATCAAAACAAAACAAAAGTAAAACACAACAGCAATTATCAAATATCATTTGGAATTAATCAAGACTCAAGTTAATAAAATCTACATAAAGCGTGGAAAAACTCACTTCCACGTGAGAGCTTTTTTCTTTTTTACGCGTTTCATGCGATGTGAGTCGCTTCGGCCTAAGGGATTGCTCTGATTTCTTAAGCACAAGTGCAAGAAGTTGATGTGGTTTTGTTGTTTCTCCCCTATAAAGGAAAACAAACATTTTTGACAACGTTGTTTACATGATGGAAAAGTACGCTGATAACTTGGAAGAACTAGTGATTGAACGAACTGGACAGCTGATCGAAGAAAAGAAGAAGACTGACGCTCTGTTAGAGAGAATGTTGCCGAGGTATGGACATAAAAAGTAATGGTTTCTCTCTTCAGGCAGCGAAATGTCAATCTGTCCGCATTGGTTTGGCACGGTAGCTTAACACGCACACTGTCTGCAAGGCTTGAAGCTTGCCATACATACCGCCAGTTAGGAATGTTGCTCGGCACGCAAACTGTCAGTTAGGCATTTAGTAAGGCATGCCTACTATCAGCTAAGTATACGGCTCGACGGCATATGGTATTGCGTGGACTGGACTGGACTGGACTAGTAAAACGCGGACTAGTAAAGCGCGGACTAGTAAAACGCGGACTAGTAAAACGAGGACTAGTAAAACGCGGACTAGTAAAACGACAACAACAAAAAAANCGCATAACATCACATTAGGTATGCAGCTCGGCTTGCATACTTTTCATTTTAGCAAGCAATTTGGCATGCATGGTATTCGTTAGGCATGTAACTTGACCGCAGCTTGGCATGCATACCATACCATGGATACCATACTATACATACCATGCACACAATTTGTTTTAATATTCTTCCTGTCATATTTTCTCGGCAGGCCTGTAGCAGAGCAACTGAAGAGAGGCAAGGCGGTCGAGGCTGAGAGTTTCCATGAAGTCTCAATTTACTTCAGTGACATTGTTGGATTCACCGAGCTCTCTGCAGAAAGTACTCCTCTCCAGGTTAATATCTAAACAATATTGAATAATTTATCATTGATTATCGCCAGGGTAAAAAGAATTGTAGAGTATCACAAGGGCGTAGCCAGGGGGGGGGGTCCTGGGGTGCGCGTGACCACCCCTTGGTAGATCTTCTTTAGAGCAAGCAACCTACAATTATCAGGTGGCGAAAACGCCATGACAATATCTTGGCCGTAAACGCCATTGATATGGGCCTTCATGCCGCGATAATACGACTGAGCCCGCTGATACACGCGGGAGAGCAGCGCTGTAAATGGTGAGTAGCCTCTGTGACCCCCCCCTTTCAAAAATCCTGGCTACGCCCCTGTATCAAGTTAGAATAAATAGCAAAAACTTGGCGTACAGACAGAAAGCAGTCTCAGCTCTATGGATGTTTTTCTAAAATGTTAATCAATCATTGCTTGTTGTGCGTTTTATGATCCTTTTTATCAGTTTTTTTTCTCTTAAGTTTTTTTTTATCATTTTCACAACACAGACCTTACAATACCGACATTCAGTTTACACTACTAACTTAAATTAAATGACTTACATACTTCTTTGTCACTGTTACAAAAAAATAATTGCTCGTTGTTTGATGCTGTTTACAAACCTTTCTCTAGATCTACCTCCTCAAAAGTACAGTTATTTTTTTCTTCTTCATGAAGGTTGTTACTCTCTTGAATGACTTGTACACTCTATTTGATGACATCATAAGCGAATATGACGTTTACAAGGTGAGGCCCGCTAGTTTACGTACTTATCTACCGCTCGAAACGCTTTTCAAAATTCACGAGCAAATACACGCCTACCTGTATTACATTTTCTTCCTCAAAATGAAAGACAAGCTAAAGGTTGTTACACTTTCGAAGGACTTGTTCATATTATTTGAAGACAGTTTAGATGAATAGGTTGTTATTTTGATGCGTCGAAAGGACCCGCTGCTCAGTACACCAGCTTTTCAAAATGCATTAAATGGCTTGAACCCGGGGGTAACATGTGAAGGTGTAGTCTGATCGTCCGGGTGAATGTAGTCCTGAGAAGGACTGTTGTCGGTGGTAGTGACTGACGTTTCGACAACCTGTGCGGAAGTCATCATCAGTGTCAAGTGAATGATTGTTGTCAGTAGAATATTCTTATTCCAGTTCGTGTGAAATGATCGA